GTACTTCGAAATATTGATTCAGTACTACATGTAACGTCAATAGGTCTTTCTTGTGAAGTATTTCAAGAAAGCCTTGGCGTGGCAAGGATGTGGAGCCTATAATCTAGAACTTTTAGTCACTTCATTTTAATCGTAGGTAATAATTCCACTAGTTACTACTATCAGTCGAACCACGTCACTGACGTTCCCTCTCGTCACTAGCCGTGGACTGTAGCTGTTTGAAGCAAGATCAACACGCTGTCCTCATCTCATGATTTTTTGGCCATGATTCAAGGCATGAACAAACAAACTGGGTATTTCTATGGTGACCTCATCAGTCACATCCCAAAACGGCTATCCCGTATGCTTTTTCGTACCTGGCGGTAATCGTCCGACGAGGAATCCCTATCCATTTCGAATTTTGCTTGATTCTAGAAAAGCTGTCGTCTTCATGATACTCCGAGCATTATTGCTCGTACTTGTTGTCGCGGTTTCTGGGGCCTGTTCACAAGACATTCAATTGAGCGAGAGTTTCGGTGGTCCGCACGGCACAGAATTTTCGGATGAAGCCTCGGTTGTCGTCGGACAGACCATAGGGTCAATTACGATTCGCGCTGGTGAGCGAGTGGACGGGGTATCACTGGAAGTGACGGGTCCGAAGGCAGCTACTTTCAGCCACGGCGGCACCGGAGGGTCAGGAAACAAACTAACTCTAGCAGCGGGTGAACGTATCACGTCGATGGAAGCGCATTGGGGCAAGAAAGGTGGCCACACTCGTATATTCTACTTGAGTTTCGGTACGAGTGCAGGTAACTCGGTGTCTGGTGGGTCAATGACGGATGATAAGAACTCGGTGACAGCACCAGAAGGTTTCCAGCTTGGAGGCTTTTTCGGGCGTGGCGGTGACGAGATCGACTCTCTCGGTGCAATTTGGGCTCGTATTGAGGCCCCACCACCAGCCACGGAGCCTCCAGCCCCGGCTACAGTAGCTCCACCTAAAGAAGAACCTGCTCCAACTAAAGAGGCTCCACCTGCTGATTCATCCGGTAGTGGAGCTCCTCCCGCTGAATCTACTGCAGCTTCTGGAGCTTCCGCTGAAAGTTCAGAGGAAGATGCACCTGTACAAGCCACGGAGGTAGAGTCTGATGCTGGCTCTGAAGCTTCAGCAGCAACAGCGTCGGGCGATGCCTCAGCGGCAGCGTCAACAGCAGGCTCTGAAGCTCCTCCCGCTGAATCTACTGCAGCTTCTGGCGGTTCCGCTGAAAGTTCAGAGGAAGAAGCACCAGTAGAAGCCACAGAGATCGTGTCCGCCTCTGGCTCTGAAGCTTCAACTGAGGCTTCAGCAGCCACAGCATCTGTAGAAGCCTCAGCGGCAGCGTCTACAGCCGGCTCTGAAGCTCCTCCACCAGGCACAGAAGCCCCTGCACCGCCTGCACCTGCTCCTCCTGCCGCCCCCTCTATCTCTGTCGAGGACTCTGTTCAACTCAGTGAAAGTTTCGGTGGTCCTCATGGTACCGAGTTCTCGGATAAAGCAGCAGCTACTTCAGGACAAACCGTGGCGTCCATTACCATTCGTGCTGGCAAGCGTGTGGATGGAGTCTCTCTCGAGATCGCAAAGCCCAAAGCTGAGACCTTCTCCCACGGAGGCACTGGAGGTGACCCAAAAACTCTAAAACTGGGCGAAGGCGAGTACATCACGTCGATGGAAGCGCATTGGGGCAAGAAGGGTGGCCACACTCGTATTTTCTACTTGAGTTTCGGTACTAGTGCAGGTAACTCGGTTGCTGCAGGAACCCAAACGGAAGACAAGAACTCGGTGACTGCTCCTAAAGGTTTCCAGCTCGGCGGATTCTTCGGACGTGCTGGCGATGAAATTGACACCCTGGGTGCAATTTGGACGAGCATCGAGTTGGTCACACCAGCTCCAACCGAACCACCGGCACCAGCTCCAGCTCCAGCGGAAGAGAAACCTGGACCTGCCAAACCTACCGATGCATCGGGTTCAGGTGGTGGTGGTGGAACCACAAAACGAGCTACAATTCTAAGTGAGTCTTTCGGCGGACCACACGGCAATCAGTTCTCGGATCAACCTTTGGTCAAATCAGCACAAGCTATCGGCGCTATCATCATCCGTGCCGGTGAACGTGTAGATGGAGTCACCCTTGAAGTGACAGCACCGACAGCTGAAACATTCACCCACGGTGGCTCTGGAGGAACCGAAAACAAGCTGGCACTTGAGAAAGGTGAACACATCACTTCAATGGAGGCTCATTGGGGCAAGAAGAACGGCAGAACCCGAATTTTCTACCTTAATTTCGGAACCAGTGCTGGTAACTCGGTGTCGGGTGGAACGAAAACAGATCTCAAGGGAAGTATCACTGCACCTGAGGGTTATCAACTTGGAGGTTTCTTCGGACGTGACGGTGACGAGATTGACCTGTTGGGTGTGGTATGGACAAGTATTGAAGCAGTGGCAGAACCAGCCCCAACCAGCGGAGGTGCATCTGCAGATGAAGACATTGTGCTGAGTCCAGTCCATGGTGGACCTCACGGTGTAGCATTTTCGGACGTCAAGGGTATAGTCCTAGGACAAACACTGAGTTCCGTCACACTGCGAGGTGCGAAACGTGTTGATGCAGTCACTCTTCAAGTAGCCACCCCCGCAGAGCAAACATGGACTCACGGTGGGAAAGGTGGGAAGGAAGTCACCCTTGCACTTGGTCCGGGAGAATATATCAACTCAGTGGAGTTTCACTGGGACAAAAAAGATGGACATACTCGTGTGTTCTACCTTAGCTTCGGTACCAGTGCGGGGAATTCCGTCTCAGTAGGAACGAAAACGGCAAACACTGCAACGGAGACTGCTCCAAAGGGGTTCCAGCTGAGTGGACTGCACGGTCGTGCTGAAGATGAGGTGGATCAACTCGGTTGTATCTGGACGAGGATTGATGCTAAGCCGGCACTGCTCACTGATGTAATGGACACTGCTTGGTTCGGTGACATTATCCGTAACTGGGTGGGTCCAACGATCGGCGTTGCGAAAGACTCAGCTTGTTATCGGAAGTACAAACCGTTTGACAGTAAAAAGATGTGTCCGGTTGGCTACGGTAACGATGACGACGACTGTATCGCTCAATGCCCCATGGCGTACCCTGTTCGCTGTGGTCTGGAGTGTATTCCACAGAATGACGACTGTGCACTGGCAATTCTGTCCAAGATATCGGCTGTCGCTGCTGTTGCATTTAATGCGGCCACTGCAGGCATCTTCACAAGTGTCAAGACACTGTACAAGGGAGCAAAGTTGCTCTACATGTGCGCAGCGAACGTCATCAACGTTATCAAGCAACTTATCTATTACTTCCGGTATGTTCAAACGACAGCGCCCCAAGGAGATACCGAGCACATGTTGACTGCATCGTATCAGTCCAATATCGTGCTGGTGGACTTGCCTATCGCGATTTACGCTTGTCTCGGCATGCCCGCTCCCAAAAAATTGGTGTTTGCTGGTTACGTGGTTACTATCGTGGAAAATATCGTGAAACAGGTAATTGTCAATGGAGACGAGATCATTTCGTCTGCCAAAAATGTCGTCGATCTTCTCAAAAACTCCAGTGCAGTAAACAACTCAGCCAGTAGTGTGACGGAGCTGGAAGATTTCATTGCAGCTAACACGTCGTGTGGCTACGAGCTCAAGCAACTGACAGACCGAGTGCTCGTCACAGTCAACGATATCCGCAATAAGACGCCAAATGCCGCGGTGAATGATGTCCGTGTGGCGGTGAGTAAGTCGTCACTGGTAACGAACGACATTCCCTCGGTTACGAACGATTGTATGAAAGAACTGCTAAAATCTAAGACCAAGCAAGCAGCGTTTGAGACGCGAGATTTGCTCCGAAAGACGATGGAAGTGATCATCGACCAGCTTGTCGAAACAGCCACGACGGATATGGGAAAGAACGTTGCAGAGAACGAGCAGATGCTGGAGATCGCCAACTTTGGGCTTGTCGTTCTAGGAGGTTTGGACCCGACTGGTGTCGTCTATATGGCATCCCAATTCGTACAACCAATTTGCGGGCCTACGGGTTTTATCGGCGAAATTGACGACGGTAATCTGTATGATGCGTTGGGAATGTGGACCATGGACGAAGCTTTCGAAGGTAGTTACGGCACGTGGTCGAAGAAAGGTGATGGCGTTGTTCGTATTATTTTCGAGAGTACGGACAAGGAGGACGTGACTGTGGTGATTCACTCCGGTGGAGATGACTATGCTAAGGTGGATGTGGGAGCTGGTGATACTGTGACGTGGGAATCGACTATTCCGGAGTTGCAGGACAAAACGTTGTATTTGGACCGTTGGCGTCCTGGTTTGTTTGGTTTGCCTGGCTCCGGGGGTGGATCGTTGCTGCTGTGGGTTCCACGAGCAGCGGACGGAGGCCATTTGACGTTACACGCCAGGATCAACGTCAGCTAGGAAGCTCAAGCAGGGTATTTGTTATAATGTGGTAGTTTTGTTGTAGAGTCGTTACAGAGCACTTTGATGGTAGTTTTAATGTTCTGGTTTTTGGATTTTGGCTAGAGCTGTAGTTTTATTGTTAGACCATCATCTCTCATGTTCCGGTCGCAATGAGATGTCCATCACTGCAATCTACGGCTAAAGCGTGATCACCATTTCGTCAAACCTACTGCCAACATGTGCGCAAGCTCCTTGATTACGAAGGAAGGATCATAGAATCCCACGATTTGATTGTCGTGAACAAAGCTCTCTATTGTCCATTTTTACACTTCTCGAGTCGGGTAACTTCTGTTAAGCTATAAGCATGCACCATTGCACGCAGCAGGACATGCGGCATAATGCACAACTCGAGTGCTGGTAAGAGAGTCTTGGGTCCTTCTGGTCGATTTTATTCGATGCAGTATAGATGGTTCGGCTGGGACGATGGCATCATTTGCGTTAGACTTCACTGCAGTCGGTCGCAACGTAATACATGTAGACGAATTTGTAGAGAAATGAGCCTTCTGCGATCATCAATGCTGTACACGAACGCTGCTTGTTTTGGATAAAATGATACCCGAGTGGCTGCATTTCTGTTCATGGGTCAAGATTACGATCAACTTGCGGGCAAATGATTATCGCCACCATGAAACCAAGTTGATAAGGCACACGTAGCCCAATCCCAGTACGTATCCTAATGCCCAAAGCTGCGTTAATTTGTAGTCAACACCATATCGAGGCCAAAGTTGCGAACACTTCGGGCATAAGTAGTAAAGCTGTCGGTGGATATTCCCACTCATCACTCGCGCTGAGAGAGTCCGCATTTCTGAAACCGCGCCGTCGGGAGCATGACACTCCGAGTACTGATACTGCAGTGGTTAGCGTGTCTTCTCCTAGCTAGTATCTCTGGGGTTTCCTCGGCAGACAACCCTATCCTGTTAAGCAAAAGCTTTGGTGGTATTCGTGGCACAAAGTTCTCTGATAAAGCCTCAGTCACCGCCGGAGAAGTAGTGGAGTCCGTCACAATTTATGCAGGTAAACGCGCCGTTTACGGCATTTCGTTGAATGTTACAAGACCGACGCCAACGTCGCTGCGTCATGGAAAGCCAAGTGGAACCAAGAGCGAGCTCGTGCTTGCTGCGAAGGAATACATCACGTCGATGGAGGCTCATTGGGGTAGTGCACTTAACCGGACGCACATCGTCTATCTTCGCTTCAACACCAGTGATGGTAACTCGATCTCTGTTGGAACCAAGGCGAAGAGTAGAAACACAGTGAGGGCGCCCAAGGGTTTCCAACTGGGAGGATTTTTCGGCTTGAGTGGCAAGACGATCGTTAAATTGGGAGCGATATGGACTCGGATTTCGGCAAAAGCTGCAACTTCCAGCAGATTAGCAACCTCGACGACATCCGATGCCTCCGAATCGAGTTCAGCCGTAGTGACCGATGGATCAAAGTCATCAAGTGCCTCCGAGTTGGCATCGCTAGCGGCGTCTAATTCTGCCTCCGCGTCCGAGTCATCTGATGTCTCCGAATCGAGTTCAGCTACATTGTCCGGTGAATCGTCCAGATCAAAGGCGTCAAGTTCCTCTGAGTTGGCATCGATAGCGGCGTCTAGTTCCACCCCCAACTCTGAGTCATCTGATGTCTCCGAATCGAGTTCAGGCCCATTGTCCGACGAATCCTCCGGGTTAAAGTCGTCAAGTACCTCCGAGTTGGCGTCTAACGCAGACTCCGACTCATCGGCCGAGTCGGCTTCAGAGGCAACTTCCGCATCCGAGTCGAGTTCAACCGCAGTGGCCGATGAATCAAAGTCATCAAGTTCTACCGAGTTGGCATCGTTAGCTGCGTCTAATTCAGCCCCCACCTCCGAAACGGGGTCAGGAGATTTTGAATCACAGTCGACAGATATCTCCGCTTCAGCGGATGCTGCAGTGGTGTCGATGGGGGGATCAGCAACAAGCTCAACGGCAGCTTCCCTTGCCGAATCTAAAGAGGGGTCTGGCGAAGCTCCAGCTCAGGACCCCGTACAGTTGAGCGAGAGTTTTGGCGGTCCTCATGGAAAGGAGTTCTCGGATCAAGCCTCGGTTGTGGCAGGACAAACGATCGGGTCGATTACAATTCGTGCGGGTGAACGCGTCGATGGCATTTCTTTAGAAGTGGCAGGGCCAAAAGCAATCACCTTCAACCACGGTGGAGCAGGTGGAAAGGAAAACACGTTGAAGCTCGCGAAGGACGAATTCATTACGACTATGGAGGTTCATTGGGCCGAGAAGAAAGGTCGAACGCGGATTTTCTACTTGAGTTTTGGTACGAGCGCTGGGAACACGGTGTCGGCAGGTTCTCAGACAGAGAGCAAGAACACGGTCACGGCACCGGAAGGCTTTCAACTTGGAGGTTTTTTCGGCCAGGACGGCGATGAAATTGACAAGCTGGGTGCGATTTGGACGCGTATATCGGCCGAAGCTCCGGCGACGGAAGCCCCTGCTCCTGCATCTGCAGCCGCATCGGGTAGTGGAGTCCCTGCTGCCGAGTCAACGTCAGGTTCTGCAACTGATTCGGCACTTGCTTCAACGGATTCTGCTGGTTCTGAAGCCCCCACCACGAAGAAGAGAAAAAGGACAGTAGATGCCTCTGCAGTCGGGTCCATCGATGACTCTTTCGGTGCCTCAGGTTCTGCTGAAGCCCCCGCAGCGAAGGCGTCAGCAGCATCTACTGACGATTCTGGAGTCGGGTCTACCAAAAGCTCAGCGGAAGGATCAGGAGCTGAGCCAGCCATGACCATTGAGGATTCCATTCAACTAAGTGAACGCTTTGGCGGCCCACACGGTACAAACTTCTCGGACCAGAACTTTGTCAATTCTGGGCAAACTGTCAGCTCCATTTCGATTCATGCGGGTGAACGTCTCGACGGTATCACGTTGGAAATCTCGGCACCCAAGACGTTCACTTTCACCCACGGAGGAACGGGTGGTGACCAGAAAACTCTCAAACTTGAAAAGGACGAGTACATTACGTCGATGGAAGTGCACTGGAGTAAGCACACGGCTGGCACAATTGTTACGAAGGACAAGACGCGCATTTTCTACGTTAAATTTCTCACAAACTTGGGCAATTCACTTGCTGGGGGATCCACGACAGAGCAGAAGACTACGGTCACTGCTCCTAAGGGTTTCCAGCTCGCTGGGTTCTTTGGT